GATAGAGTACACTGTCCTTTCAGAACTCAGCCAAGACTGTAGACCCAGGAAGTTCCAAGCTAAGAGAGCATAATGCTACTTTGGCTTCTAGTCAGCAGGAGAGTAGAGAGGCCTAGAAGAGAAGGAATCCTACCCAGGAGGTAACACAGAATACAGACTATTTCTGAAAATTTATATTGTGCCAACTATGTGCTAGGCACTATGCCAAGCACTTTTACAAATATTACTTTATTTGATTCTAACAACAACCCTGGGAGGTAGCTGCTATTATCATCCCCATTTTACAGTTAAGGGAACTGAAGCAAACAGAAGTTACCTGACTTACCAGGACTGCACAACTAGTTAGTGTCTGTGGCTGTATTTGAACTCAGATCTTCCTGATTTCAAGCCCATAACTCTATCCACTGTGCCACCACCTGCCTACTAAAGGGACTGAGAACATCATGGTCTTCAGTCCAGAGTTGTGAATTGCCCCATTACCTAGTCAATGTGTCTCATTGCTAGGTTTTTCTGAGTTTTTCTCCACTCTCCCTAATGCTCATTGGTGAGAAAGTATGATACAGTTTTATGTGTGGGCTATTGCATTGTGATTATTATTATGTTTGCCTTTTTTGTTTTCTAAATGCTTCATGTCTTTCATTCTTTCACTTTTTTGTGTTGTAACAAACTGATCAAAGAAAACTCATATGAATTGAAGTAGTCAATGATGTCATCTTGACTGATGAAATGAAATTTCATTCTACTCAGGTAGAATAATGGAGCCAGCTCCAGCCCAGGAAAGTAGAGCCTTGAGAGAGAGGTCAGCACCACACCCTGTACAACAAATCTACATTTGATGACCACTGAACATTCATTTAAGTACATGTTAATATCTTCACATAAAAAGCTTTTCTTTAAAAGTTTTATGATACTGTATCAAAGGCAGCATAAGGTACTAGAAGGAATGCTGGAGCAAGAATCAGGAGACCTTAGTCAATAATCTCCTTCCCACTCAGCCACCTGTTCAGGACATCTAACTATGCCCTTCCATGGATGCCCAACTTCTCCTCACCTAAACCAGAATGTTCCACAGAGGGTCTCTAGAATCCACACCCCAGTCCCTGGAGAAGTCAATCCACCTACTCCTCCGTGCTCTGGGGATAGTGAAATTGGAATTTGATTTTTTAATTTTATTTTGTTAAAACTTAAACTGGAAGTAATATTTCCCTTCACTGCAAGTTCTACTGAGGTAACCTCAGGTCACTTTTCTCTCATTTCTCATCTTGTAACTAGGACCTCCACCCTTGTATAGGTGTACATCATTTTATTGAGCTTTGCTTTATTGTGCTTTGCACTTTTTACAAATAGGTTTGTGGCAACCCTATATCATGCAAGTAAGTCTATTGGTGCCATTTTTCCAACAGCATGTGCTCACATAGTGTCTCTGTATTACATTTTGGTAATTCTCACAATATTTTCAACTTTTTCATTATTATTATATCTGTTATGGTGATCTGTGATACAGTGATCTTTGATGTGTAACTGTTTTGGGGCCCACAAAACTATGCTCATATAAGACAGCAAACATTGATAAATGTTGGGTGCGTGCCATTCCCTGTCTCTCTCCCTCTCCTCAGGTCTCCCTATTCCGTGAGACACAACAGTATTGAAATTAGGCCAATTAATAACCCTACAATTGTCTCTATGTATTTAAATGAAAGGAAGAGTCAATCAATGGGGCAAACTTCATTGTTGTCTTACTTTAATGAACTGCCACGACCACCCCATCCTTCAACAATCACCACCCTGATCAGTCAGCAGCCATCAACACGGAGACAAAACCCTCCAACCAGCAAAAAGACTATGACTCGCTGAAAGCTCAGATGATGGTTAGCTTTTTTTTTTTTAAGCAATAAAGCATTTTTTTAATTAAAGTATGTACATTGTATTTTTAGATACCTAATATATGCATACCTAATAGACTACAGTATAGTGTAAACATAGCTTTTATTTGCACTGGGAAACCAAAAAATTCCTGTAACTTGCTTTATTATGATATTCACTTTATAGGGGTGATCTGAAATGAACCAGCAATATCTCCAAGGTATGCCTGTATTGAAACTTGTATCTCCACCTTTGTAACTTCACCCACCCCCCAGATAAACTTGCCTAAAGGTTAATCGCATCAGTCTTAAACTGTTAACTCCAAGGCTTTCAGACTAATCACCTAAGGACTGATCTCCTCTCCAAATGATGTAATAGGGAGGAGCTGAGACGACACTTATCCCACCTCCTCATTGAAATGTCTACCAATTAGCATTATCTTGTGACCTAAATCACATGTCTCTTTAGGGTCCAATCTTCAAATGGAGTGGTCCTTGCCAGTCAGCCCTAAACCACCCAAATATGCCCCATTCCTAAAATGTGTTCTCTTTGAGCACGTTCAAATGTGAATAACAGTAATCAACTAGCAAAACAAATTACTATTTACTGCATTAGCAGAAATGAAATTTCTGAGGGCTACATAGAGGGAGAGATTTTTCAAAAAACAAGTAACTTCTGACATCTGACTAGACAGGAGAAAAAAAAACCTTCTAGTAGAAGAAAACTGAGTCCAAACCACTGATTTCTTTATTCTATAGCAACCTACTGACTTTTAATTGGGGGTTGAAGACGGCTTCCAAAGCATCCCCTTCCAAAACAGAAAAACTGAAAGCAGAAACAAAGGAAATTAATTAGAAGCAGAATAGGGTAACTGAAGCAATACAAGACATTTGTTTTCACCCAGCCCAGATGAGATAAAGTTATGTAAAGATCCAAGCCAAAGGAAAGAGATAGACAAATGTCAGCTATCATTATCATCATCATCATTAGGCAATTAAGATATTGGCAGATCAAATTAGGAAAAACAATAAACATTTAGTCACATAAAATAAAGGAATAATAAGCTATGAAATATGGGAAGCATCATGGGTGGTAGGGTCAGCACTGGACTCAGAGGCAGAAGATCTGAGTTCAAGTCCTAACTCTTGCTCTTGTGAGAAAAGCTAGGTGGCTTATCTGAGATCACATACGTGTTTCACTTAGTTTAAGTTCATCACCAGGAAACATCATCCTGGAAACTGCTTCAACTTTGGTGCTCACAACTCATCAGTACCCTCACTTGCTATGCAAATCACACAGCTTTCCTGAGTCTTAGGGTAAATGAACTGCTTTCTGTCATAGGGTAAACTGAGATGATACAAGTGTAAGCCCTTTGTAAACTGTAAAGCACCATACAGGCATAAGTTATCTTCATAGTGTCTATTATTTCATTTCAAGGGGGAAAAAAATGTAGGGAAACATTACCATCATAAGCCACAATTGTCTTTGGGGAAAAAAGCTCCTTGGCCTAGAACTTAGGGTCATAGGCATAGAGCTGGAAAAAACTTTACAAGCCATTCTGCCATATTAAATTTGAGGAAGCTAAAACCCAAGGAAGTTGAGTGATTTGTCCAAAGTCACACAGGAAGCTTATAAAGCACCAGATGTGGGATCCGAACCCAGGGCATCTGACTCCAGAGTTTATGGACTTTTAATCATATTTCATCCTTCAGTTTGTTTCACAAGAAGTTGTTACACAGTTGGTGACTTTATTAGTTATGTGTACTCTGATTGTCTTAGCTGTCTCATCCATAAAAACTTTTTCTTACTATCGGTTAGTAGTTCTTGGAAATGGTGTCATAACAAAGAAGGATGAAAATTAGTTCCTAACCTTACCTGGTTTTCTATTTTCCCGAACATCCCTCCTTCCACCTCTCTTATGAAAGAAAATTAAGAATTTTTGCATACACACATAGAAAGTCACACAAACACTAGGAGAGATCTGCTTTGCAGTATGACTTTATATAGGTCTGTTATCAAAAATAACAAAGGTCAAATAAACTGAGATTCTTTATTAAAAGTTTGAGCTCTGTGGCCCCTTGCCAAAGTACTCTTTGGCTTTATTGTTATTTGGTAGTTTTCTATTCAGTAGTTTAAGATACAAATTCAGCCTGCTCTTGGACTTTATGTTTGCCTTGTAATAAAAAGGGGGGAAAGGAAAGTATACTAGATATCTTTCTTTCTTTTTTTTTTTTTTAAATCAGGTTTCCATCCTTTAAGAAAAACATAGGAATGAAAGAAAATTAGTTTAAAGCGGTAGCACCTCTAGGAGAATGACCATCAGCAAAGGTGATTTATAGATTAGGGCCTGGAATGTTTCTTCTGTTATAACTCTTGAGGTACAAAGGCTTCAAATAGCCTGGACTCTTCAAAAAGTGCCATGTTTCATAGCTGGACCCAGAGTGAAGCACTGAGGAATAATAATCTGCAATTTTAAGAAAGAAGGAAGGAAGGAGAGAAGGAAGGAAGGAAGGAAGGAAGGAGAAGACTTAGGGATGTAGGGAGGGAAGGAAGAAGAGGAAAGGGAGGAAGAGAAGGAGGTAGGAAGGTAAGAAGAGACGAGGGAGGAATAGAGAAAGGGAGAAAGAAGGGAGGAAGGGGAAAAAAGGAGGGATGGAGGGAGTAAGGGGGGAAAGAGGAAAAGACAAAAAGGGTAGGAGAGAGGGAAGAAGAAAGTGAGAGAACAGAGGAGGAAAAAAGAAGAGAATAAAGGAGAAAGAGAAGTAAGTAGAAAGGAGGAAGGAGGGAAGGAGGAGGGAAAAGGAAGGGAGGAAGGAGGGAAGGAATAAAGGAGAGAGGGAGGGAAGAGAAAAGAAAAAAGTTTGTTTCGTTTTGCTACAGCAAAGAGAACTGAAGCATGGGATAAGGGAAAAAACTGAAGAGCTCTGAGGTTTAGGGCAACGTTGGGGAGTTAGTAAGTCATTAATTTCTCATGAGTGGCCAGCTGCTGTCTCTAAGTCATTGCCACTGTCCATTTCCCAATCAAAGTTAGCCAGGTTCATTCTCCTCTTACTTGCCTCTATTTTTTTTCTCCTGCCTCAAAGGGCATGTCAAGTCAGACCTACAAGACAGCATGAAGCAAAATTACTAGAAACATACAAAATGGCACTGTTATAATTTATAGTGGCTTTGCCTCTACATTATCACCTGATTTTATAGGCCAATAGAATACAGGGAAAATATCCTCCTTCTAGTTTTAAGAACATGGAAAAACTCCACACCCCAGTGTGTGCCCAAGAATTAAGAGCTGACACCCCGACTAGTTGGTCTCTTTTCCGTGAAGAAGCTTTTCAGAAGCACCACTTGACTGATGCTGACCACAAATAGTATGACTGTCTCCCCCACAGACCAGTAGGAAACACGCTCATTCAAGTCATCAGCTCGGTTCCGGTCCTGAGCTTCCCTGAGTCGATAATGTGTCTGAGAATCAATCACTGTTTTCAAGGCTTCATGAATGGTCACACAAGCAGACTCCATCTGGGAAAAGGGGAAAAGCCAAATACATTTCAAAGCCCAAGAACTGCTATCAACCACAGATTATTGCTCTGGGAAAAGGAGTGTGAACTAACATGATAATCCCCAGACAATCCCCAAACCTCTTCTACCATAAAACTTTACACAGAGACATAAGTAATAAAATGATAGGAACTAGTGTGACCCAATTTGAACCAGTTTAAACCAATCAAATTGTCTATAAACATGGCAAATCCATTAAAACTGAGCAGAACTGGGTTAAATTGTTTGAGAATCAGTTGGAACCAGTAGGAATTGCTTTCAACTATTCAGAACTGGTCAAAAAGTGATTTAGGAATAAATAGCGATAGATTCAGAATAATTGCATCTCTGCTTCCTTCAATAATAAAAGTAGTCACCAGATCTAACCCCTAAATGTTAACAAGAAAGGCCTCTAAAGATCCGTAGCATACAATGAGGAATAAGTTATATGATTTATATTTGAAGCCAAGGTGAAAGACATTGTGACCCAAAGACCAAGAAGGCTTGGCTCTGATTCTAGTTCAAGCAAGTAGATCCTATCTGACCAGTGCCCCAAGTATTGTCACATTTTATGTGCTTAAAGTCAAATGTGCTTTCATGCACTCACCTGTGTCAATGCAGTGACTCTGTTTCCCATCTCTGGGAGAATGGGGGGTTCATCTCCAATTAGAAGGTCAAAGAAGACAATTTTGTGGGAAAATGTGGAAAACTCATTACTGAAGCAAAACTTGTAGATTCCTTTGATCTCTGTCTGGTGAAAGAAACTGTCATACTGCTTCTTGGTTTCTTTGTAAATTGTCTTTCCATGGGGGTCTTCAATAAAGCAGTCTACATCATAGTGTCCACCACTAATGACCTGTTGACCACAAATGGCCCCAGAGAGTTTGTAGTTACCCCACAGGACATCAGAATTCACTTTGCTGCAGAAACATACACAGACAAAAGCAACCCCAAATATGTTCTGCTGGTGTCCTTCAATGGAATGATGCCTTGGGATCAATTAGATCAGAAACAGACCAAGAATATCAATAGAATGAGAAGTTTGAGATCTTGTTTCAAAGGAACTACTCAGGGTGGAAATGAGTAATAGATTTTCCTTCTTTCTCTTTTTTCTATGTTCTCTGGGGAACTCAGGGTCTCAGGTTGTAAAATTATAAGGTCTCAGGTTGTAAAATAAAGATTTAAATGGCAACAGAAACCAACCCTCTCAGAGAAGCAGTTTAAGCATTAAATCCAGCTCTCCCCAGAGCTTGTTATTCTCAGCAAGAGAAATTAGGGCCAGTCAATGTTTTCAAACACGTGAAAAGTATTAAGAAAATAAATAATTGAACAAACAAATGAGCACCACAGTTGAATAAAAGCCATCCATATTTTCATAGAATATAGAGTCTTAGAGGAAACCTTAGATATCATCTACTCCAACTCCTCACACTGTAAGAATCCTTTCTACAACACTGGAAGTGGAATGAATGCTGGACTTGGGTTCAGAAGACCTAGACCTGAGTGTTGGCCCTGCTACTTCTTACCTGTAGGTGTTTAATCTCTTCGGGTCTCTGGTCTTTATCCATTAAATGAGAAGGTTGGATTTCATTAAATGATCTCTAGTCATCTAATCCAAAGTCATGGGCTTTAACATTTATACTTGTTAAATTTCAGCTGGTTAGTTTGGGCCTAGAGTTCCAGCCTGGTAAGATCATTTTGAATCAACATTAGCCATCCTTCCCAGATTTCTGTAAACTAAAACTTTTATAATTACACTTATTCTGCCTGGCACTAGGGAGAAGAGATAGGACCAATGGGTAGAAGTTATAGAGAGACAGATATTGACTTAATATAAGGGAACATTTCCTAACAATTGTGACTGAAAATAGAATATCTGTCTTGGAAAACTGGGGATATTCAAACTGCAGTTGGATGGTCACTTGCTGATATGTTGTCGAGGGGATTCCCAATTTAGGTAAATGATTAATGAGTTTCCTCTTAGGCTCTTAGATTTAGAGTTGGAAAAGACCTTGGAGAACATTGAGTCCAACTTGCTTCTTCTGAGATACTGTCATCCAAGTCATTGAACAGCACTGAAATTCTGTGGGGATAGAATTATGAACTTGGAGTTAGGAAGAAACCCTCCCCTCAGATACCATCTCTGACAGTAGCTGTGGACCACAAAACAGCCATTCTCTCTGAGCCTGTTTTCTCATCAGTAGAATGAAGCTAATAATGAATACCTATAGTACTGACCTCATAAGGCTTCTATGAGGCTCAAACTTTCAAGACTTACATAAATGATAGTTATTATTGTCCTAAAAATGTATTTAAGTTATTTCACATGTTCCTGCTAATTCATAAAATTTGAGAATTAAGCAGTTCATTCTTAAGTCTGCTTTAAAAGACAGACAAAAAAGAACACATGAAAGAATTAGTATGTCCATGTTTACCTATCTGTTCTCCCAGATCCTCCCACAATACATTTGATGTCCTGGTTTTATATTTTTGAACTATCTCCATTTAGCCAGTGTTGAAATGTAGATTAAGAAGCTCTTGGACCACAAACTTCCATCACCAAACAAATGATTTCACACTAAAATACAAAGTTTGAGCTTCCCTACTGCATTTGAAGCCTTTGAGTAAGCTACAAGGAACAAGAATTCCGTCAAAGAGACAGTCAAGGGCTCCTTCATGTGGCCATAAGTATCACTGCAGCTCAGAAACTATACAATGTTTGTGCAGTTTTCAAGCATTGGATATTAGGGGGGGCATATATCTTAGAGATCATTAATTACATTCCCCACATTTCACAAATGGGGAAATTGAGAACCAGGGCTGACGAAGCGACTTGTTTAAATAGGATCACAACCTATTCAGTGCTCAGGTTATTTTCACTTCTAATAGGCTGTTAGGTATTTCCTAAGTTTCACTCACTATCGTTGCAGTGAAAGTTTTGCAAGTCAACCGCTGAATGCCTATTTAGCAAGGATTAGAGCAGAGGACTTCAGGGTGACCAAAGCTGTCTAAACAGATATGAGACTAGCCAAATGACTCAGATTTCAAGAAAAGATAAGAGGTAGAGGTGATGGGGCAGAGTATTCCAAGCACGAAGGGCAACCAATGCAAAGTATAGAAGGCACTATGTAGGCAACAGCGAGCCATCTGTTGCAGCTAGATCAGAGTGTGTAGACAAGAATAATATATAAGAAGACTAGAAAGGTAGGAAGAAGCCAGGTTGTGAAGGGCTCTAAATGCCCAACAAAGGAGTCTGTATTTCATCCTGGTTGTCGTTGTGAGCCGCTGGACTTTACTGAGTTATCAGGGAGCAGGAGCATGGGGATCTTGGCACGGCTAGCCCTGTACTTGAAGAAAATTATTTTGGCAGCTGAGTAGGGGATGCATTGAAACACGAAGACCCCTGAGATAGGGAGATTCATCAATTAAAAGACTATTGCACTAGTCTAGGCAAGTGGTAATAAAGGCCTGTACAAGGGTGGTGACCGTCAGTGAAGAAAGGGGACATATGTTAGGAAGGTAGTGAGGGTAGGTAGTTAGGAAGGCAGTGACACAAAAGCTGAAAGCCTGGGTAACTGGAAGAATGGGAGAATTATTGGGAGATATTGGGAAATATTGGGAGAATCTGGGAAAAGAGTGGGGTTTTTCTTTTTTGGGGGGGAGGACTGCATGACGTTGGGCAAGTCACTGGACGTTTATGGACCTCAGTTTCCTCCTCCGTAAAACGCTGGAGTTTGAACAAATGAGCTCTAAGGTCCCTTCCAGATCTACATCCTGTGGTCCTATTTGTCCATGGGATGCTGCTGCAGAAGGACACTTAGCCAAAAGCCTGGACGACATGGCCAAGTACTTTAACCGCTAAAGCAGCTCCCTGACCTATCAGGAGACCAGATACAAAAGGAGGGGGGAAAGGTGGCAAGCCTGAGCTTCAAGTGGCATCCTGTCTTAATTAAGTCCAGGCCCGCCCCCTCACCACCCCACACACAATCCCCTTCTCTTCTCCGCAATCTTTGAAAGACACCAGCCGAGATGGGGGGAATCCAGAGGCTAAGCAAAGCAGAGAGAGAAGAGCACCCCACCCCGCCTTACTTGATAACCTAGGGTGAATTTCACCCCCTGCTCCACCTCCTCGTGGAAACACTGCTTGGCGCTGTCTGGCAGTTCGAAAGTCAGCTGGGTGCATGGCAGCACCTCGGCCCGCAGGAGGAGCAGCAGCAGCAGCGGCAGCAGCCGCCGCCGCCACGCCGCCAGAGTGCCAGCGGGAGCCCGGGACCTCATGCTTCTGGGCTCGTCTAGGACCCTCCCAGGACGGGCTCAGTGCTGGCCGGCCCGTGCAAGCTGCAGAGCCGAGGAGGAGCCGGAGAAGATGCGTCCGCCTCTTCGGCCACTCCCTGCAGCAGCAGCCCGGGTAGCGCTCGGCTCCCTGGCCTGACGTGGCACTAGGGCTTGGAACCTGGCTCTTCCGGGTGGCTCCCGACTCCTTTCTCGGGGCGGGACCGGGCTCTTGGCGGAGGCGGGGACTGGTCTGGCTGTGGAGCTGGCCAGAGTTTCCTTCGCTTCTCTCTTCCCTCAGTCAGTTTGAAGACTTGGCCAGCAGGGGAAGGGGCTTCCTTGTCCTTCCAGAGTCACCAAGTTAGGTGACTGACTGACGGTAGCTCGGGGAAGAGACATCTAACCCAAACCCTTCCTTTTACAGATGAAAACTGAGGTTCAGGAAAGTTGAGGAATTTGTCCTAGTTCACAGGTGCCCGGCTTCTTCTGGGAGGGGAGGAGAGGAGGTGAGGGATGGAGGAAGGAATTTGGATGGAAAGAGAGGGGCCACCGGGTGCAGAATCCCTTCCCTTGCCTAATAGTGACCCAGTGGACAGTACCTGGAGTCAGGTTCAAGCCTCTCCTTAAAAACCAGCTGTGTGAGTCTGAAGCCAGTTTCCTCATCTGTATGGGGATAATAATAATGATGATGATGATGATAGCATCTACCTCCCAGAGTAGTTGTGAGGATCAAGTGGGATAAGAGTTTTAAAGCCCTTTGCAAACTTTAAAGTGCTATATAAATGCTAGTTATTTTTGTCCCTTCCCTGGCCCTGGCCCTTCTCTCCCTGAATCCTAGAATTATTTCTTCAGCCTGTGGCAACCAGGGACAATTTGGGCTGAAAAAGTGCAGTGAAAAAGTACTCATGTAACCCACTAAGTGCCAGGACCAGCCTATGTCTGGTCAGCCTTAATTAGCTTAAGAGAAATTACCCAGCCCCAGGGTTATAATAATAGCTTCAGTCCACTCAAGATGCAAGTAAGTTTTTGAAGAATCCCTAGATTGGTTCAATCATTCAACTAGCATTTACGATAACGAGCTAGGCCCTGTGCTAAGCCCTAGGGATTCAAAGAAAGGTAAAAATGCTTTCTGTAAGAGGTGGCTCCTATAGAAAGCTAATCTTGACCTTCTCTGAGTCCTTGACATGCTTCTCAAATTACTTTGTATAGATTTAATTTTGTAGGTGCCTAGCTTTCTCCAATAGAATGCAAGCTCCTTCAAGGAAGGGTCATTTTTTTTGTGGTCTTTGTATCCCCAGTCCTTAGCATGGGGCCTGTCATATAGTAGGCATTTAATAAATGCTTGTGGGATTAAATTGAATTGAACTGAATTCAAATCAAAGACCTTTTAGCTCTGCCATTCAACATTTATGTCCTCTTAATTCACTTTTACAACTCCTTCTATATGTGTATATTTTCACTCATAAATATAAAAGTGAATGTAAACACTTAAACAAATGTTTATCTGAGTGAGGGTTTGGTACATTGACATTGTGATGTGGGTTTTGTTATATTATCATCCATTTCACTATATATTGGTCAACACCCCAGCTGAGGAACCACCTCCACCATGTTTTCCCTGACTCCCCAGAGAGAAGTGACTTCTCCTTCAGAGTCCTTGCCATGCTTATTTTGAATTTATAATGAATGGTCTATGATATTTTAGGGTTATATGAGTGCTTGCTTTATCTCCTTCTCCTAAATTATAATCTCCTTTGGGATGGAGGCCAAGATGTACTCATCTTTGAACTCTCCAAAACATCTTAACATAGATTATTGAATTGAATCAAATTGAATAACCCAAAGCAGACATTAATCCTTACTAGGGCTTACTCTGCTTTCAGCTATCAGTCACAGTCTACTAGCTCCAGAGTAAACCCCAAAACAGAAGTCCTGTCCTGTGATAGGGCACCTACCTTTGGGCATTCAGCAAGCAATCAAACAAGCATTTTTAAGTATCTACCAAGTGCCAGACACTGTGCTGAGATCAGGGGTGCAAAAACAAAAAGAAAGGAGCTCCTAAAAGAGCTTCCACTCATTTAGGGGAAGCAACATGAAAGGAAAAGGGAACAGAGAGCAAAGAATACTGGTTTGAAATTAGAGGGATCTTAAATTAGGGTTTGTGAATTTTAAAAAAAAATTGATAACTCAATTTAAATATCATTCATTTCCTTTGTAATCCTATATATTTTACTGTATGCATTTTAAAACATTTCATAGGCTTCAGGTCCAGACTGCCAAGTGACTCCATAACACAAAAAAGGTTAAGAACCCCAGGACTAGATTCAGAAGGCCAGTGTACAATAATACTGCCCCTGATGATTACTCCTGGTATGTATGTATGGCCTGGGACAAGTTACTTAATTAACCTTCCTGGGCCTGCCCGTCTGTAAAATAAGAAGGATGGACTAGTTGGCTTCTGAGTTTCCTTCCAACTTCTTATATATAACCTCAGGTACTCAAAAGTAGCTCCCTGTTAGGCAGGAACTGAAGGTAACTTCTTCATCATCTGGTTCCAGGCCATCTCCTCAGACTTTTCATATAACTGCCCTTCATACACTTTGTGTTCTGACCAAACTGGCTTTCTGGTCATGTACCCCAAACTCAGAGAATGATTTTTTACCTCTAAGACTTTGAATATGTCTTCTGTCTCCCATGCTTATAATACCTTCCCTCCTTCCTTTAGCTTCCTTTGAGGCTCAGGCAGACTTTCCAGATCCTGCTAGTTGCTTACCTTTGGTCTTGCTCCAATTATCCTGTATTAGCTGTTTACGTTTCGTGTCCTCCAGTAGAATGTTTGTTCCTTGAGGGTTGGAACTTTTCATTTGCCTGGTTGTTTTGTCTTTGTATCCCTGGTGACTATTATAATGTCTTGCACACAGTAGGTGCTTAATCAATGTTTGTTGAACTGAAATCCAAAATTAATTAAATTTTGGACCCTTATGTAAATCAAGCTGAGCTTATTGAGGCCAAAAATCTTAGCCATAATACTTATGTTCAAGCTTCTTTATTTGTTACCCTGTGTACAAATGCTTCTCAGCAGCTCTCAGTGTGACAAGAGCATCAGCCTTGACATCCTTGCAGTAAAGCAGCTTCATCAGCTAAGTACCAAAAGTATTGAGTCAGAAAATCTACCTCATCAGCATAATTCAAATTTCATATACTTGTTTTAATGACCATGATGAAACTTTGGTTGGAAAGAGTAATGAAGCAGTGTCTTTGCAAAAGTTATGACTGAATATTGTTTTGATCAATAAAAATTTCAGGATAAAAGAAAGATGACTTTGAAAAGCTGGGTTTTTTTTTTTAAGCTTTGAGGAGTAGAACTTTTTTTTTTTTTGCTTTTTTATAAGGCAATCAAGGTTAAGTGACTTGCCAGGGTCATACAGCTAAGAAGTGTCATGTGTCACACAGCTAGTAAGTATTGTGTGTCTAAGACTGGATTTGAACTCACATCCTCCTTACCCCAAGGCCGAAGCTTTATCCACTGTGCCACCTAGCTGCCCCAGGAGTAGAATTACAAAACAGAGCAGAAATCAAATATGGGAACTACTAGATAAAAAAAATAATTTGCTAGAAACAACTGAACCTGTTCACTTCCAAATACGCTCAGGTCATAAGATCATGGAAGCCAAGATTTAAAATTGGAAATTTAAAGCATAGATTTAAATGTTAAAATCTTAGCTGTCATCCAATCCAAATCCTTCATTTTATAGATAAACTGACTTGTCAAATCCAGGATTTGAACCCATGTCCTCTGACTCCAAATCTGTTGCTCCTCCTAATGCATCACACCCCAACAGTATTTCACATCTTTTTAAAAAATTAGCTATGAAATGTATTTTTTCAAACTTTCTACCTCTCCCACCTACTACCAGCTACCATGCAATCTCTCCCTGCCCAATTCCTGAGCTACATTTACTTCTCTGATTCTTTTTTGAAAAGTTTTGATGTTCCCTCTTGCATCACTCTCATTTTCCAACAACTCTCTATTCAATCTCCCCATAGAACTCAGCATGTAACAGATAAATACAGCCAAGCAAAACAAATCAAACCTTGGCCAAGTTGGAAGTCCACTAAGAGATGGGTAGCAGGATTGGTTGCTGCATTGATCAGAGTTTCAAGGTCTTTCAGTGTTGTTTTTATTTACATTACTGTGGTCTTTGTGTAAATTGTCCTTCTGGTTCTGCTCATACCTCCCTCATCATTTCATAGAAATCTCAAATTTCTTTGAATACTCCACATTCATCATTTTTTGAAATGCATTATTCCATTAAATTCAAATGCTCCAATTTCATTCAGCCAATCCTCCTATCAATAGGTACCCGCTTGCCTTTCATTTCTTTACTGCTACAAATATTTTTGTAGGTCAACTAGATAATATTTGTAAAGCTCTTAGTACAAAACCCAGCATGTAGTAGGTACTTAATAAATGCTTGCTTCCTCATCTTTCTTTTTTGGGGAAACTTTCCCTCTGTCTTTGCCTTCCTGGTAAGGGTGGGATGTTATGCTTAGCAGTATAACTAGGTCCAAAAGTGTATACAATATAGTGACTTATCTAATATAATGTTTTCCAGAACAACTGTACTAAGTCCCAGTGCTAGCAACAGATGTACATTAGTGTACCTGTCTTCCAACAGCTCCGCCAACATTTACCATTTTGATATTTTCTCATCTTTGCTGATTATTTGATAGGTTAGAGGGAAAAATAGCATTGTTTATTTATCATTATCAGTTTCTAACATTCTTTCCTATAACTGTTTCAAGTTTACATTTCTCTCTTTGAAACTGCCTGTCATACAACTTTACCATTTATCTACTGGAGAACGGGTCTTGTTTTTATATATTCATATCAATTCCCTATGCAAATATCTTGTGCATCAGGCATTTACACATTCCCTTCTTAATCTCCTGCAATCTGCTTTCTATTCCCAGCACTCAACTGGACTGATCAATTAAGGAATTCCAATGAATTCCTTAATTTTTCTTAGTCTGTATCCTTTATGGAATTTGACACTGTTGGTCATCTACTCTCTTCAAAATTTCCCTGATACCACTCCTACCACACATACACCAAGACTGTTAACTCATTTGCCTAGTATGATTTGGAACCATGTTCTTCC